ATATAATACTAACATATACCTCTATAGGGAGAAAAGGAAAGGAAGAACGTGACTTGATCTATAAACGAAAAAACATGTGTGTCTTACAATTATAATAATTCCTTAATAATAATAATAATAATATAAATTTCTTATTCCTGGCTTCCACCTTAAACAAATATATAGAACCGCTTTTATTGTATACCCTATATAAATATGCTTATACAGGCTAATATATCATTTCATTTCATTTCTTTTTAGGCTTGCGTCTGTTTTGTTCCGTTTAAAATTAAAGCTGACTACTAATACAAATATAATTAAAACAATTTCATAACGTTACGCTTGAATGAATATGAAAGATAAACGGAGACAATGATTGAAGACAATGATCTTAAGAAGATGATTGGCATAATTGTGACATCCTATTTCAAATAACAACTTCCTTCGTAAGACTTGCACTCGACGTTATACCGAATATTGTTATAAATCAAGTACAAAATAATTTATATAAACAGTTCTGTTTGACCTGATGAAGGACAACGTATAAAGGAAGTTACACACGTACGTGCACGCGTACGCAGACGCAGAGGACGGATACTAAACGTATGTGCATGTACACATGACGTAGGCTTTCTGTGTACAAGGTTACTGAAGGTGTTGGCATAGAAATAATTGATAGTTTGTATTTACACGTGGATCTCATTAAAGGAACATAGTTACGCACAGAGGGTATCGAGCAGCACAGCCCAGGGGTCGTTTATGTGCTTGGTTTTCTCGCTTTGGTTAGCTTGGCACCGTCCATGAACCATGCAGAATTTAATATGTCCAGAATAGAGTATTTAGAACATAAAGTTGATTAAAGTTAATAAAATTACAAACTGCTCAGCAGTAATCATCCTGAAAATCACTACAACCGAGTACCACCTTAAATTAAACTATTCTTATGTTTTGTATCATAAATTCAGGGGAGAATGTAAGAGAGAATATGAAAAGGAATTTAATTCAAATTTTAAGAGTGCTATTTCCGGTCATTTGGAGTCATTAGCCTTAAAATTTCGTATGATTTGGGCTAAGATGACCTGTACCTTCTATCTGTAAAAATCTTACCCGGGCTCCCTAAATTTAGAATATCTGGATCCGGCACTGATAAACGTTTGTTGTGTGATTTAATATAATAGTGTGTGGCATATCACAAAAGACTTTCTGGTTATAAGTTTAGTTAAGTCATTAACGTTACAAAATGATTTACATATCGCATGACAAACGCGACTCTTCATTGATTTGAAGTTCAGTGAATTATAGTTACCCATTGGTAATGGCTAATACAATAAGTAAAATGAATAGGCATTTCTACATATTTTACTTGGAAGAACTTGCGGAAATTAGAGAGGACGCGCAAATGAATTATCATAGACTGAAAGTTAATAACAAAATGTGCCAACGTTTACAGACATTAGTACAGGCTTAGTGTGTAGCTTTGACCAGTCTACAAACAAGTTACAAGTAGGTCAGTTTTCAATGCCAGTATTATAGGGTGACACAGTGGTCCAGTGCACGCCTTTCTATCTATGAGTTGCGGATCAATGCTTGGTAAACTACCATGAGTTCCTCTACTAGGCCTGCCTACTCCCCAATTAACCTTAAAGACGTGGTTTACAATAAGCAGCTCCACCGAATGGATTGTCTTAGTTAAATTACTTATTTGGTAAACTATACTCTGCATAGGCCTATGGTTTACAGTAAGTTAAGCAGCCTTGGTAAGGATTCAGTGTTAACTTGCCAACGTGTGATTTGTGACCCATTAACTTTTAAAAGTAACCCTGGATCGTACCGTACGGTTCGAGCTGTGAATTTTGCTGAGAAATATTCCAGTTCAGGAACTTTATATCATGCCTCCAACAAGCTCGTTTCCCCTTTAAAGTTTAAAGTAAAATGTTGTATAAGTGACCTTATTACAATGTAAGTGCCGGGAGATCTCATAACTGACACACTTACTTGACGTCGGTGCGTTCCAACAGATTCAGCTACGTTGCAACCGCTCAGCAGAAAAGCTAATATCACTATGGTTATTCCCATATTTCACTTGGTATGTTTGTAGTGGGCTAGCTGATTTGTAGCGGTGGTGAAGTTATGGTTCCTTGCTAGGGTGCAGTTGAACTAGGCTATAGAGCGCATTAGCCTTGCGTCTTAGATGCCTGCGACCTTGCTCCGTCCTGTATCGTGTCTACCGATCTTTATACTTTCAATGAGTTGTGACGTAGCAAGTCCCTAGTAGTTGACGTCATGGTTTTGTCGGATATCGTCTCCTCCTGGGTTAATCTCTTTGGGTTTCTTCAATATTAATATAGGCCTTAGGAAGGGTACCGTACCGTACAGAACTGCATCATGGCCGGCGCAATCGGGGGTGGGGGGCGGGGCATAATGTCTATGGGGCTTTTTCTATGATCGGAAAGAAATGCAAGAGAAGAAAGGAAAGGAGGAGAATGAGCGGAAAACCGACCGAGTTACATTTTCTCCCAATTCATATTGGCGGATCTGGGGTGAGTTGGTTCAGGTGTCCTAACCCCTTCCTTGGGCAGAAAAAAAAATTCCAGACCTACCTTTTCAGGTAGGTCAGGTCCTTCTTTAACAATAACAAAATTAGAAGCCGGGAAAACTCATTTCCCGCCATATAGGAATCAAAATTTTCTCCGGGGGAGGACCCCGACCCCCTTTTTTGGGGTTCATCGATTCATGGAAAAAAGAACACGTATGTAAACTGGTTCACACATAGGCCTAATAGGTCTATTTACTGTAATAAGAATGAGAAAAATTTACCTGACCGTTTTCAAGGGGGAAAGCCTTGAATTTTTAAGAACTTAAAAGTTATTGAAAGACACCTCAGAAGACGGGAAAGCTCATTTCGCGCCATCTAGGAGTCAAAATTTTCCCGGGGGAAAACCCCCGACACCCCCTTTCTTTTGGGATTTATCGATTCATCAAAACAAAAATACAGTACGTATGCAACTACTCTATTTTTTATGTATGTATACACACATAAAAGAAAAAAGAATGAGACAAATTTGGCTGACCGTTTTTAAGAGGGGAAAACCTTTAATTTTGAAGAAATTAAAAGTAATTAGACATTTCAGAAGTCGGGAAAGCTCATTTTCCACCATCTAGAAATCGAAATTTTCCCGGGGGAACCCGAACCCCATTTCTTCTTTGGGTTCATCGATTCATGGAATCGTTTTCAAGAGGGGAAAACCTTGAACTTAGAACTTAATCAATAAAAGACACCTCAGAAATCGGGAATGCTCATTTCCCGCCATCAGGAATTAACATTTTCCCGCGGAGAACCATCGGACTCCTTTCTTTTTGCGATTTGTCTATTCACGTAAAAAGAATACGTCTGTAATCGGCGGGTTCGCTGAACAAGTTATAAAAAATTACCTGACCGTTTTCCAGAGAGAACCTTGAATTTTGAAGAACTTAAAATTAAACTCATTAAAAGGCACTTCAGAAGTTAGGAAAACTCAATTCCCGACATTTAAAAATCAACATTTTCCCGGGTAGAACCCGAACCCCCATTTCTCTTTTGGTTCATTGATTCATAGAATCGTTGACTAGAGGGGGAACCTTGAATTTTGAAGAATTTAAAAGTCATTAAAAGACACCACTGAAGTCGGAAAAGCTCATTTCCGCCATCTAGGAATCAAAATTTTCTCAGGGGAGAACCCCTGGATCCCCTTTCTCTTTGGGGTTTCGATTCATGGAGAAAAGTATACGTATGCAACTACTCAATTGTTTTTATGTACGTAGGCCTATACAAACGTATCAGGCCTATTTACTGTAATAAGAATGAGAAAGTTTACCCAGGTTTACCTGACCGATTTCAAGAGGGGGAAAACCTTGAACTTTGAAGAACTTAAAAGTCATTAAAAGACACCTACCTCAAAAGTCGTGAAAGCTCATTTCCTGCCATCTAGGAATAAAAATTTTCCTGACCCCCTTCCTTTTTGAGGCTTTTGGTGAACATGTTGATCCCCAACTCGTAAATTTGAACCCAGATCCTCTGATTTATATTCCTATTCATCTTACTAGTGCCCCTCCCCCCACACTGGATACTATACTGCCATATAATGATTACGAAAAAAAAAGTGGTTATACTAAATGGAGTAATAGCGGTCACGGTAATGGTAAGACTAGCGCTAGGTTATACGCTTTCAACAAAATGTCCAATAGAAGCTCAATAAAAGAAACAGAAGAGGAGGATTTCATTCAATTTACAACTCATTTACTCTATGCCTAATAGAAAATGAGAACCAGCAACAAAATTTTGCTTCGACAATTATAATATATAGATACATTTAATTTACTTAATGAATCTGCCCCAGCATGTCCGACCTGTTATTACCTGTTTATATCTCTAGTTTTCTATCCCCCTTACTGTTTTTTCTCATTGGATCATTGGATGGTGATCAGAGGCGTAGCCAGAGGGGTTTTTTGAAGGGGCCCTGTTTTTTTTATAGTAGAAATTATAGTAGAATTTCTGAGAATGGGAGCCCTCGGGTTCTGGTCGCCAATTCCATTGTGGGATATAAGATGTGCTCGATTTTAAGTACTCTATTGCATTCATGTTTGTCATTGTATTCTAAATGTTTTTAACAACGAAATAAATGAAATGATATGAGACACCTTATGCTGTTATGTACTGTACAAACAAATAAAATGCTAACAAACAAATCTATGATAATTAAACGACTATAAAGGAATAGGCTGAAATGGACCATGCTTTGCAAGTGTGACCCTTAATTCATTTGATAGGTTTTGAAAATAGGCGCGATTAGACGAATTCAGATTTTTTTAGGTCAAATTGAGCTGTATTACTAAATTCAGATTCTGGATTTTCTTCAGTCTTAACGTCTGCTAGAGACTCAGATTCAGGTGGATTGCTGAAATCAGTTAAGTATCGTCAGTATTTTTGATGTATTTGAGGCAGCAGCCTCTGCCTTTTCTTTTCTTCACGCTTTTTGTAGCCGGATTGATATTGCCGCTTCATAGTTGATGAATACCGAATAATATTAAAGTAAGTCCAATGCATTTTTTTTTATGTATTTGAGGAAGCAGCTAAGCTGGTGATAGCCACTGTGCTGAACCGAGGAGATCTCTAGGTCCCCGGTTCAATTCCCATCGCTGCCTCTCCTTGTGTTTCAGCTAGAGGGCTGAAATACAAGTTACAATAGCGCACCGTCTTTCGGATGAGACGTTTAAGCCGTTGGTCCCGTGTGCATTATGGCCCATGTGCACGTTAAAAAACGCAGTAACACTCTTCGGAAAAGAGTAGGGGATTGTCTCCCGGTGTACTGCCCAGAAGGACCCCACTGGAAATAAGTCTTCTTCTAGACTTTCGTGGGCTATCCTTGGTGTTTACACCGAATAAATCCAATCCAATTAAGTATTGGAAGAAATTAACAACTTTTGAGACACACAGGGTTTTCAAAATCGGCGACGATTTTGATAGCTATGGGAAAATGATGCCAATAAGATACCGTATGTCTTATCATTAGGTTATTGACCTATGTTAACATCCCAAAAAGGACTTTCAAAAAGAAGATTTTTCTTAAAATCAATCAATGAAATGATTTTAGGCATGCTCAGCTGCAGGTCCCCGTATTTGGCCCTAAACCCCGGGGTAGCGTTGCTGCCGGCGCCCCAGATTTGGGGTCTGGAGGCCAGCAAAAGTACTCCAGGGGCCCAGAATTCCTAATTCAAACAATTTCAGACTTAAGAGTAGATCAAAATATTGTTTTCTATATTATTAACGTATTTGTCTCGGACCCTACCGGGGCCCTGGGGCACTGGTCCCGTCTTTTCCCCTTCTCAGCGATAGTGATGCTCAGGGGCACTCCTACTGAAGATGATAGATAGATTAGGCCTACAGTAGTTAATTATTTCTGAGTCTCTAAGGGGCCTTAAGATTCCATGTGTCCAGGTGCTAGATCGAGGACGAGAACCCTGTTTAGGGGAAACATCGGGGCCCCTAAAGGTCGGGGGCCCTGCGGACCGCCGCATGAGAGCGCATAGGCGGTACGCCATTGCCATCGTCCTTTTATGATTTACAGAGTAACTGGATGACCCTAGCCTCAGACCCGACGCACACGCCGTGTCATCTATAAATCTCGAATGTTGTGCGTACATTAATAATTAATAAATATTACAAACATTTTGTTACAATCATAGTATTAACGGGTGTGGGGGCAAGGCAATTAATTTGTCAGCTAAATACTAATACCATAACCATGTTTATCAGGGTGTTGCCCCTGGCCCAGTGCTTCGCACTAGACTTTCGACCATTGTCAAACCATCTGACGGACAGCATAGCCGCCGTTGGACAAAAATCCTGGAGCTGATACTGAAGGTTGTCAGAGGATGTTGATGTACTAGGTAGGTCACGGGAGAGGATTGTTACTGAATAAAGTTATATACCCAGTGGCTTAACGCCCATGAACTCTCGGGGGCTTAGCCCCGGGGACTTTTGAAATGGGCATACTACATAGCACTCCACTAAGAAGATGACAATGGCGTAACGCCTGTGTGCTTTCTGGTGCCAACGTCCAATCTCCATTGGCCTCAGAGAGGCCATCGGGGCTCCCTTACCACTACCCAGTACTTTACTAAATTTCTGTCACACAGATGTCGGACGGGTTGAAAAGATAACAGTGGCGAATCCAGGAATGGAAAACAGACACTTTTTGTTGACATTTTGGGTTTATTAACCCAAAGAATCGAGACAGTACCTCAATTCTGTTGGTAAACGTATTAATCTATTCTTTCTCTCTCTCTCCCCCTCTCCCCCCCCCCCTCTCTCTCTCTTTCTTGTGTTTTTGTAGTCTTTTTCTTTGTTCAGAGCCATATCCAGGATACCATTTGTGGATGCCGTTGCAAAGGTGGACTAACTGGGCTCAGAGGGATATAGTCGGTTGAATTGCGGATTAAGGCTATAATATTCTTTTAGGATAGGAAATTTTTTCTCTCAGACGTACACACATCCCTTCACCCAATTCGTGAGCGAAAATAAATACTCCAATTAACTTATATACAACCCCCACCAACATGTCCTTGTCTCATGACTCGCCATTTCGCCACTGTTGCTGATACGCAAGTAATATTTATGGTTCCTTAATCGGCAAGAAAAATATTTTATTGTAATTTTTCAATTGATAGCAAATAGCAATTAAATATTCAATTTTATTGTTCAGAATTATCCGCTCAACACAGACAATATTTAATAGGCC